CTCAGGCGCCTCTGTGACGAGGGGCTCCAGATCATGCAGGGGGCGCAGGCTACGTTCGAGCGCAACTGCCAGGAGCACCAGCAGCGCATCAAGCGCCAGATCGAGGAGGAGGTGGCCAAGAAGCGCAAGCGCACCGAGGAGGGGCCTGCAGCAGCCGTGGCCGCTGGCGCCCCCGTGCGGGGCGCGGCCGCCCCGCCGCAGCCAGCAGGACAGGCGGCCGCCCCTGCTGCTGCCGCCGCCCCAGCAGCAGGCGCTGCGCCTGGTGCAGGGCCCCCCCCAGCGGCCGCCGTGGAGAGCCGAGCGGCAGACGAGGCGGCCCGACAGCGCGCGGCCGACCAAAAGGCTGCTGCGGCGGCCCCTCCACCTGCTGCTGGCGCTGCTGCTGGCAGCGGCCAGGCCCGCGGGTAGCACCCTGCTGCCAGGCGGCCGCCCCGTAAGCGCGGCGCCGCCCGTCCCAGGCGGGGCTGAGGAGGCAGAGGCGGCGGCGCCCAGCCGCCCCGCGGCGAAGGCGGCGCCGAGCGGCGGCATGCACGCCTACCTGGCGGCCAACGTCGAGGCCGACGCTGGGGAAGGGCTTCCCTTCACTGGGCCGCTGCTGCGCCAGGACCGACGCTCCGACGATGCGCGCCATGGTTCCAAGTTCAAGGCGCTCAGTAGCAGGACAGAGCCAAGCGCTGCGGCGGACTTGGATGGGCCCGACCGAAGGACTGGCAGTCCTCAGCCCAGCAAGGGGCCCATACGGGTTAGTGGGTACCCAATTCAAGTTGGCGAGGCTAAGGGCGAGGGCGTGAGACCCCCTGAGGTTCGGAGCCCCAAGGCGGCGGGCAGCCGCCCGCCTGGCGGCCGCGCGGGCGACGCGGCAGCCGCGAAGCCTGCAGCCCAGCCCCAGCCAGGGCGACCGCAGGCCAAGCCCCTCCAGCTGGCCAATCTGCAGCGCACGGAGGCTGTCAGGAAGCTTAGCCCCCTCACCAAGTGCTGGCGCTGCCTCGGGAGGATCGCCAGGCAGCTCAGTGCGGCTGCTGCCGTCAGCTCACCCCCTGAGGGGCACGGGGGCTACATGAAGCACCTGGTGCAGGTGGCCAAGAGCTTGGGGCCCAAGTTCGAGCAGGCGGGCTGCTCCATGTTTGAAGGCACTAAGCTGGACTCGCTGACTGTGGTGATCCAAGAGCCCTCTGCGCAAGGGCAGGCCTTCCTGCAGATGATCGAGAGCGCGGCGGCGAGACTCTGCAAAGAAGAAGCCAAGGCGGCCAGGCTGCGCTGGATGGACAACGTGGACGTGGCCTCGACGAAAGGGGCGAAAGGAGCCCACGATGTCATACAGGACCGCGATCAGGTGCTGGACTCGGGGATCGCGCACTGCCCCGACTGGCTGACGCTCCCCGTTGTAGTCCAGCAAGCCCAGAACCAGATCCGCATAGAGTGGAAGGCCCTCTGGAAAGGAGCCGATAGGGAGCACAGGACCAGATCAGCCGATTGGATCTGCTCCATGGTGCTGCCCCCGTTCACGGTGGGCGACAGCCTCGAGGCGGCGAAGTCGCTCCCGAAGCAGACCGCTCTGGGCTGGGATGAGTTCCACCCGCGGCTGGTCCTCTCCCAGGGCAGGCCCTTCGCCGATATGATGGCAGAGGTGCTCACGGCTTGGGTGTTGCAGCCGCAGCCCACGGCCCTCTTCACCACGGCGTTCCTCTTCCTGGGGAAGCCAGACGGAGGCCGCCGCCCGATCGGCCTCATGGGCAAGTGGTTGCGCATCTGGTGCAGGGTGCGCCGCCGCTACGGTGTCAAGTGGGAGAAGGACCACCAGCCCACTTTGGTCTGGGGCAAGGATGCGAACAGCTGTGACATGGCGGTCTACCCACACAACCTGGGGTTCGCGCTCGCCCGCCAGCTTGGCTTTGGGGCAGCCTCAGTCTATCTCGACGGCAAGTTCTACGCGCTGACTGACCACGACCGTTTCAAGCGAACTGCCGAGTTAGCGAGCTTGATGGGCCACCGCTACGAGGAGCTCTTCTGCCAGGACCTCTTCGTCGGCGCCCAGTACCAGGTGCAGAGGCCGCGCTGTGACCCTGGCGGGGAGCGCCGCTCGCGCGGCTGGGACGCGGGCGCACTCGTGGTGCCCGCGGGCACCCTCGTCTTCACGGACAGCTCCTGCGTCAACAACGACCTGATGATCAGGAGCGCGGTCTGGTCGGTGGCGGTTCTCACGACCGTTGGCGAGTGGGTGGTGCAAGCGAGGGGTGCGGCGCCGTCTGCCCTGAAGCTCATCCCCTCCCGTTCGCGGGCGGCCATCGAGCGGGGCGACCTCATGGAGGTGGAGCTCTTCGGCAACCGCCTCGTGGGCCAGCTCGCGAAGGCGGGCGCGGCGATGCGCGCCATCGCCGACGAGGAGGCCCGCCTGCTCCAGGGCTGCCAGGCCCGCACCCGCTTCACGGCGCGCTTCGCCGCCGAGTTCGAGGTCCAGGACACGGAGTCGGGCTTGCGGGACCTACATTGCGGCGGAGCTCGACGGCGAGGCCGACCCCCTGTTCGCCGCCGCGGCGGAGCCCGCCCCTGGGACAGGTGGATTCAGCCCACCGAAGTCGCAGTCCCAGGGGCGCGGCCAGTTCGGGAAGAAGCACGACGTGGAGGTGCGCGCGGCTGGCATCGCGGAGCTGGACGCGCTGTTGGCTGCTCCTGACGGCGCGGCGCTGGCGCGCGGCAGCGGCATCTCGGAACCCATCGAGCTCCCCGAGGGCCGCGAGGCAGCCGCCGCTGTCGGGCACGCCGCTGGCGGAGGCCCTGGGCAGCCGCCGCGGCCTGCAGTCAGCAGCCTGCCGCCCCCAGCTGCCCCCTTGGTGCGCCGCCCGCGGCAGGTTCGCCAGGCGCCACGCGACGCGGAGCACGTCGCGCTGTATGGCGATGGCAACGTGAAGGAGATCGACGCGGAGCTTTGCGGTGGCTACGCCGAGGCGCAGGCCTCGGCGGATGGCGGCCCCCTCCTCGCCACGGCGGCGGCCCTGGCAGCGGCGGCGGCTGCTGGCGCCTCCAGCTCGCGCCCTTCGCCCATGAGGCGCCGCCCCGCCTCGGCCGAGTCGCCCGCGGATGCCCTGCGACGTGTCGCCCAGCGCAGGGCGCAGGTGCAGCCGAGGCGCCGCGAGGCCTCAGCCCCCGCGCCCTGCCCGCGCCTGGCGGCGGCGGAGGCGGCGAGCAGCGGACCAGCCACTGCGGAGGCGGCTGATGCAGCCCGTCCAGCGGGATGGAGGGTCAACGGCCACCTCCTCATGGAGTCGAGAGTCGAAGGAGACGACTCCGAGCCCTTCTTGGTCTGCGCGGCTTGCTGGATGCACTGCCGCCTCCCCAGGTACGCGCACCGCGGCCTGGGCAAGCAGTGCGGGGCCAGCGCGGCGGCTGGGCAGCCCAGGTGCAAGAAGGGATCCAGAGCCCAGGCGCGGTCGGACTTCGCTCGCGGCATCCTGCCAGCGTCGAAGGAGCCGATCGCGCCGCTGGCCTCGCCAACGGAGTGCACGCGCCGGCGCTGGGCGGCGGCTCTCCAGGCCAGGCAGGGCCACGGCGCGGAGGGGCAGGCGCTCGTGGCAACGCCCGTGCCAGCGCAGCGGCTGCCAGCAGCCGCCCAGCCCCCACCGCCTGCGGCTGGCGCTGGGAGCCAGGCGGCTGCGCCGCCGAGCGCCGCGGCTACGCGGCGGCTGGCCGCGGCGGCCCCGCGGGGGGAGGCCGCCGAGCCGCGGCGGTCCCGCCCAGGGCTCGAGGGTGTACGTGGAGCCCACGGCTTCGCGGACGCAGCGGCGGCCCGCGAGCGCGGGCGAGCCGCGACGGCAGCGGCCGCCCGCGCAGGCCGCGCGGGGAAGCGCGCCGCGGGCTGAGGCGGCCTCGGCAGGCGGCTGTAAGCGCCCACGCGGCCCTCCGCCTCTCCGCCATGAATTTATGCAAGAATCCGCCGAGCCCGCTCGGCGCCCACACAGATAAACAAAAAAAACAATGCTCTCACCAAGGGCTCCCGCGAGGGCGCGAAGTTGGTCGCGCTTCGCGGTCCTCGTTCCTCCTCCCCCTCCTCCTCGTCCTCCTCTTTTCCCTTGTGGGGGCGGCGCGAGAGCGCGAAGTTATTCGCACTTCGCGCAGCGAAGCGCGAAGTTGGGAGCCCTTGCTCACCGCACCCCACCTGAAACCACGGGTCGTCGAAGAGGATGGGAGCGACGAGGAGCAGCACGACGAGGGCGACTTCGCTTCTTCGACGGGCCGTGGGGTCCTACAAGTCTTCAGGCCTCGGGGTGCCGGCTCTCTCGCCTGCTCGGAAGGCGCGAGTATTCATCCTGGCCAGGCTTAAGTCGGGCATGCCTGTCCCCCTGCAGGGGGATTTTCGACGAAAAATAAAGGATACCCCAAAAATAACCCCAAAAAATGAATTAAAACATAGTCTTGGGACTACTTTTTGGATTATTTTTTATCTCTCGTCGAGAAGCCCCCCTGCAGGGGGTCAGGCCCGACTTCACGCCTGCTCGGAAGGCGTGAGCACTCCTCTCGGCCAGGCCTGCGCACTCGCTCCGGGGCGCCCCGGGAAGGCCGTCCGCCCTCGGCGCGCCCGCGCCGGAGGCGGGCGGCCAAGCGGGACGGGCGGCGGGCACGCAGGCAGAAGCCAGCGGGCCCTGGCCGTCCCCTCGGCTTAAGCCGTGTCCCGCGGGGGCCCCCACCTGGCCCCGGAGCCGGCACAGGAGTACTCCTCCCCCTCCTCCTCCTCCTCCTCCTCCTCCTCCTCCTCCTCCTCCTCCTCCTCTTCCTCCTCCTCCTCCTCCTCCTCCTCCTCCTCCTCCTCCTCTCAAGCCTTCTGCGGCCCGAGGTCCTTTTGGGAGAGGCCCGACGACCGCACGGCACTCGCGCGTACCGAGTTCGGGGGCGCACCAGGTGCGCGCTACGGGTTCCCGCGGCTTGAGGGGCGCCTGCAGGCGGCGAAAGTCGAGTGTCGAGTTGTTTGATGGGACGGAGCGGCAACGAGAGGGCGAGGAACAGGGATGGCTCGAGACCGCCTTCCACCCACGGGAAGCGCCGTCAGGCGTATCACGTGTGCCGCAATTGTCCTCGTTCTTGGGTATATTGCAACAGAGCTGGAACCCCAGGCTGGGAATCGTGTCGATTGTGCAACGTACCCTGGCCGAAGCCATCCAGCAAGAAGGAAGTCACCTTCGCACTGGAGAGTGGAGAGACGGGCAGCACCCTCCTCGAGCAGCTGCTGCCAAAGTACAGGTCGGCCAAGGACGCCAAAGAGGAGGACACCATCAAGGCGCTGGAGATGGTGCGCCCTGAGCTGGCGGATGCGCTCAAACCTGTACCTCCCAAGGCTCCAGAAGTTCTACTGGAACAACATGCAGCGTGTCTCCGCCGTTTCCAGAGCCAGCAAGAGAAGCTCAAGAACCAGGTCGTGGCCAACGCCAGGACAGGGAAGGAGCTCCTCGTCAAGCTGGAGGAGAACGTCAGAGCGTGCGCCGAAACACAGGCTGAGGTCAACCGCCTCACTAGCCAGACATCTGCAGCCAGGGGCGCTGGAGGTGCAGCCATGGGTGCAGGAGATGGAGGCAAGTCGGCTGCTACTGACGAGTCCCTCAATTTCCCCGAGCTGGACCCTGAGGACGTCGCCCTCCTCACGCCAGAGCAGCAGACGGCCTACGAGGCAGCGCTGGCCAGGGCCAAGCAGGCCCAGGAGGTGTACAAGAACGCGCAGAGCATCGGCCAGCAGGCGCAGGACGCGGCCAAGACGCTACGGGGGTTGCGGGAGACAGCCACTCACAAGCGTCGACGTGCCACTGGTGCCGCAGGTGTTGCGGCTGGGGCCCCTGCAGCTGGCGCCGAGTCGCAGGCCAAGGATGACGAACAGCCAGGCGAGTCAAACCAAGACTTCACTGATGTCAAGAACGTGGAGGCGTACATCCAGCGCACGGCGTCCATCAAGGCCAGGGCTGCAGCGGCTGAGGCAGCACGCTCGGGCAGCTCGGGAGGAGCTGCAACGGCTGCTGCAGCTGGCGCGGGCAAGACGTCGGGTGGGTGACACGTTGTCCCGCCACAATGCAGATAGAGTACTATTTGGCCAGCGGGATCGAGTCTCGGTCTTCTTCGGGAACGTCACCTGCTGGAGCTTCAAGGTGAAGAAATTCGTAGAGTCGGCGCCGTACGACCTCATGGGGATGGCAGAACACCACTTGTCCCAAGTGCAATGCCAGGGTGAGGAGAGGCGCCTTCGCAATTTTGGTTGGAGGTCAGAGGCTACATGGACAGCTGCTACGGCTACAGGCAGGTCTGAGAGAGGCACGCACGGGGGAACGTGCTGGCTCCGAAGGGCCACCTACGCCACAAGCACTCACCTAACAGGCTCGTTTGGCAAGAGTGTGTTTCATGATGCCCTTCGAGATACGACAGTTGTGCTATGGAGGTTTCATGGGGTTACCTTCGCTTTCATTGTTTGTTATCTCGATTGCTCCATCGGCATGGCTGGGACCAATTCCAGAAAGATGCACAACATCGCCAGGCTCGTCAAGCCACTGGATGTGCCATGGTTGTTGGTGGGAGATTTCAATGCCACGCCTGCTGAGATGGGAAAGTCGGGCTGGTTGGACGTGCTTCGGGCTCGCGTCGTGACCCCAGAGGGGGTCGAGGTCTCATGCACTTCAGGAAAAGGACGCATGATTGACTACGCGGTGGTGCCAGACAGTTTTCGTCCCTTCTTGTCCCAGGTGTTGCCAGTGCAGAATTTGCCGTGGGGCCCTCACATTGGCCTCAACATCCTTTTCAGGTCTCGTCCCGCATCGGTCTTCCTCCGTGTACCAGTGCTTCCAGTACCCTTGGTGATTCCCGAGGGTGAGTCCAGGGTGCCCAAGGGCCTCAAGAGGTTCCAGAGGGACAGGGAGAAGCATGCGAAGATCCAGGAGATGCGCGACGAGATGCACGTGCTGCAGCAGGGTGACCTGCTCAACGACGACGACGACCACCTGCTGGACGACCACTACGTCACCAAGCGGGCCCTGAGGTGCGAGGACCAGGAGTGGATCCAGTACGTGTATGAGGCCAGCGAGGATCTCGGTTACTCCTTCCCCCAGGCCGAGCCAGGCGTGCAGAGGAGTGAGGCGTACAGAGCTGCCCCGCATCTGTCTGAGGTTCTCGCGAGGCAGTATGGCATCTGGTCGATGGCGGCGGAGGCACAGCTGGCAGATCTTTGCGGGGTTAAACTGCGGCAGGGAGCCCGCCGAGGCATGCCAGTGAAGTATCAGTGGAGACGCGCAGTGGTCCAGAAGAATGATTCGAATTTCGGCCACTCCAGCGCCAACGCCCTCAGCAGCAGGTGGGCGAGTCTGCGTGCCAGGGAGCAGGAGCAGCTGGTGGCGCTAGGTCGTTTTCGTCATTCGAGATATCGGCAGCGGGCCCAGGGCATCGTGACCAGCATACTGGCCGAGCGGCGCAGAGATCATGACAGCCATGGTCCAGTTCCAGACGGCCATGCAGAAGATATGACTGGGAAGTGGAGAGTATTCAGAGATGATGAGCAGGTTATTTGCCAGGGCGAGCGCATTCGCGCATGCACGGACTTCGCAGAGTGGCAGAACTTCGCGCTGAAGGTGCAGGCCCGCTCGATCCGCCACGCCAGCCTGGCTTGGCAGCAGACGCGGAGCGAGATCGGCAGCTGGGCGGTCAAGAGTGCGCAGGGCTCCATGAAGGGCGCTCGCCGCTACCTGAAGAAGAACGATCAGCGCGCCCTGGGTGAGACCTGCATCGACCCCGTCACTGGTGAGGTATGTGATACGGTCCAGGGCACAACTGACGCCAGAGCGGCTTGCTGGGCAGCGCGGTGGACCTCCCAGCCACACCGCCTACCAGCAGTCCGTGCTGCCCTCGGTGCGCTGAGGACCCGTGCCCACGAGGACTTGGCCGACCGCCCCTTCCACACTCGGGAGCAACTGGTGGCGACACTCAAGTCTTTCCCGAAGGGCACGGGCACGGGGCCAGACCAGTGGAAGCCAGCACACATCCTGGCCCTCTCGGGCCAGGGGCAGGAGTCTCTCGTCACGCTCTTCAACATGATCGAGCGAGGGCTGGCATGGCCGCACCAGCTGCTGCACAACTGGTTCGCGCTGCTGCCCAAGGGCGAGAAGCAGGAGCTGGGCAACGAGAGGGACATCGGCCTCCTGCCGATGCCCGTCAGGATCTGGGGGCGCCTCACCAAGTCCCCCCTGACGGAGTGGTGCGACAAACGGGCTGCGCACTGGGATGCGGCGGTGAGAGGCAGCAGCGCGCTCCAGGCCGCCCTGCTCACCATGGTCCTGGACGAGACTCGGGCACGCATCGGCCTCAACGAGCAGAGCAATTTTCTGGCAGATGTTGAGAAGTTTTACGATCACATGGACTTGGCACAGATGATTCTCCAGGCGATCGAGCTTCAATTTCCTGCGGTGGAGCTGTACCTCTGCTGCCTGACGTATCTATCGCCTCGGACGGTCAAGGCCCAAGGGGCTTACGCCGAGCCCATCGTGCCGAACTGCTCCATCGCACCAGGCTGCGGGAAGGCCAACCACGGTGCAAGAGTCTTCCTGTGCCGGCTGTTGGAGAGGGCTCATGAGAGGGCCCCGTTGGCTCACATCAGGCAGTACGTCGACGATGTACACACGCGAGTGGAGGGTCCAAGAAAGATGGTGCTGGACCAGACTAAGACGATCACTTGTGAGCTGGTGCAGGGCATGCTGGACCTGGGACTCCGAGTCTCCCCCAAGTCGCTCTTGATGATGACGAATGTGAAGGATGAGGAGAAAGTCCAGCGGCACGTCTTGCGGAGCACGGGTATCAAGATCAAGCGAGCCAGCTGGGCCAAGGACCTTGGGGTAGACTGCTCCATGGGACTCAAGCGTGCGACCAAGACCGCCAAGGGCAGGATGACCACGGCGCAGGCTCGCGCCACGCGCACAGCCCTGTTCAGGCGAGTCGGTCGAGGAGGCACCAGATCCAAAGGAGTCACGCTGCACAATACCAACATCAAGGCGAAGTTTCGATATGCTGATCCAGTTCTGGGAGTGGCGCCGTCTGATATGGAGCGTAGGCGTGCCCAAGCGGCAGACTTGGCGGGACACACAGTCGGTGGCAGATGCACGGCCTCAGTCCTGCTGCTCCACTACCAGGACGATGAGCCCAAGATGAGCGTGGTCAAGGATCAGGTCAAGCAGTGGTTCCAGTTCTGGGAGGCCCATCCAGAGCTGCGAGAACGAGTTCGACGGGGCTGGCGAGCGGTGCTGAAGCGGCTGGTATACCTGCGCCCCCGCTCAAGATGGCGGTGCGTGACGGGCCCGATGGGGGCTCTCATCATGACGCTGCGCGAGCTCGGCTGGACCCCGCGAGCTCCAGACCACTGGCTCGACGACCAGGGGAACGAGTGGAAGCACATGGGCGATGCCGCGGACAGCTACGACGAGTTGTACGAGGCTCTGTGCTCCTCCGTCAGGCGCGACCTCTGGCAGCAGGCTGGCGATCATCCAGCAGGGCAGGGGCTGCGCGAGGGCGGCGACATGCACGTGCTGCGGGTCAACCTGCGGCGGCTCCGTCGCCGGGACCGACACCGAGAGGCAGGTGCGCTGGAGGCGAACGCTCAGGCTTGCATCTGGACGAAGGCTCTCGCCAAATCCTCAGGGTACAGATGCGATGACGTTTGCCCGAGGTGCGAGCTTGGAAAAGACACGATTGCTCACAGATTGTACGAGTGTCAGGCGAATGTCAACATCGACCATGGGTGGGTGTCCCGAACTGAGTCGTTGTGTGAGCATGCTTTGAAAGATTTGAGTGAGGGCGTGAACGTTTGTTTCTGGACACGGGGGACCGTTCCCCCGTCCTGGAACCCTGCGCCCCCGCCCCCCGAGTGGAACTCTGGAGAAGGCCAAGAGGTTTGGGCTATAGGGCTCCCCCCTCCCGACCTCGACTCCTCCTTCGAGCTCCTCCCGTCTTCTACTTTCCCCCTCCAGGCGCAGGTGGGCTTCCTTGACGGCTCCGCCACGTCCAGCGATGCCCGAGTGCGCCGTGTTGGCTGGGGGGTGTACTTCCGTGTGGAGGGCGAGGCGGAGCTGGACGTGGAAAGAGGGGCCCTCCGCGGGCTGTTCGGAACCATCGATGGACCCCAGACAGTGCCTGCTAGTGAGCTTGCCGCGTTGGTTTGGGCCCTTAAGGTCACCAAGGGACCCATTGAGCTGTGGTCTGACTGTACTCTTGTCTTTGAAGGATGGTGTAAAGGCTTCGCCTCAGCTCCGCAGGGCCCGCCCATTCGGCGGTGGTCTCGGGTGAGAGCGGCCCTGCAGAGCAGAGGCGAAGGGCACGTAGTTCTAAAGAAGTGTTTTTCGCACCTGGATGCTGAGTCCCATATGCGCGTAGGTCAGGATCTGAAAGTGTCTCGGGGAAATGAGATGGCCGATCGGCTAGCCCAACGAGGTGCTGAGGTCGCCGCCGCCCCCATCCGTAGTGCCATCAAAGCTTTGAACGTTGCTGATGCCAGAGCCACCTTGGTGCACCAGAGGATAGGGGCGATTTTGGCCCATGGTTGCTCTGACTTGGATCGGGGGGACAGTGGGGAGTTCGGTGGGTCGCTCGGTTCGGAGTCGGGGCTGTCGAGGGTGGGAGAGCTTGAGGCCAGAGCTGGCCATCAGATGCAGCGTCTCTCGAATGGTCTTTGGTCCTGCAAGCTGCGCCGCCAGACCCCAGGCCGATTCTCCTTGGAAGATTGGCTCCAGGCTTTCTTGTGCCCAGGAGATTTAGCCCAGCGAGCCCTCAGTGAGCAGGGGCACCATGTCAGAGTTTTCCCCGCGAATGTGCATGCCCTCAGAGTGGGCGATCGAGTCGTCCACAGCTCTCACTCTATTGCCATGCTGAACGGACTAGCGTGGTGCTGGAAGTGTGCTAGATTCGGGACAGTGGTCCAGGGTGGGGGTCACTTGCGTGAGCTGGTCAACCTCTGTCCCGAAAAGCGCACCAATTCGGGACGCAACTATTTGAATCGTCTGAGTCGAGGTCACCCCCCCAAGGCTGGCAAGGACTGGCCCATCCCCCAAGGCGCTGGTGGCGGCAGAGCGCCACTGCCCGTCGTCGGTTCGAACGTCAAGGACTTCCGACGGCGGCGGGGGGGTGGAGGGGGGGGAGCGTGAGGGTTTACGATTGTGTGTAATCGAATAGACGCGAGGGGGTGCGTCACGGACGCATCCCCCTCTCGAAGAGTTACTCCAGTTACTCCTCCTCCTCCTCCTCCTCCTCCTCCTCAGCACCTCCCCCTCCTCCTCTTCCTCCTCCTCCTCCCCCTCCTCCCCTCCTCCTCCTCCTCCCTCCTCCTCCTCCTCCTCCTCCTCCTCCTCCCTCCTCCTCCTCCTCCTCCTCCTCCTCCTCCTCCTCCTCCTCCTCCTCCTCCTCCTCCTCCCCCTCCTCCTCAACTGGCCCCCGAACAGGCACAGGAGTACTCCGGATGAACAGCCACTCCCCGAGAAGGGGTTCAGGCCTGCTGGGAAACCAGACTGCGACAGCATCACCCTGAGATCCGACGTGGCACACAGTTGCAATATCGTGAAAGTCACGACCGGAGCCCCAGATCCGATGCTGGTGCTACATGTGTCGAGCCGGGTCGATCCGTGAGGGTCCAGGTCCCGCAACCGAGCGAGAACGCCTTGCGTGAGAAAGTGCAGAGCCCAGATCTCAGGGCACGACGTCGGGTGTCTGGGGAAGGCGGCGGAAGCCAAGGAGAGACGTCGGCACTTTGGGGCGCAGGGCTTCCGGAGCTGGCCCGCTGTTGATGTACAGCAGGTCCCAGCCGGCCGCCAGGAACCCGTGAGGCTCGGGGCTCCCTCTCTCGAGCTCGATCTTCTGCCCGGAGGTTCTGACGGGACTTGTAGATCGGAGGATGGAAAGTCAAGACAGCGGCGGTCCTCCCTTGCATTTTTCGTCATCGTCGGGCCTCCTGCAGGCCGTTCTCGTCGCCGCGGACGGATCCGCCTCGAAATGCGGGTCAGGGTTGACCCAGGGAGGGGTCGGGAGGCTGATTGCCGGGCAGGAGTTCCGCCGTGGTCTCAATTGGCCCTCCTCCAGGCCGATCCAGCCCCCGATCACCGGTCCCAAAGCAACTAGCCCCCCGTCTGCCCCGAAGCACGGGGCGTGATGCACCTCCGCAAGCGGTTGGTCAGCACTTTCTGCGGTCGCCACAGCCGAGCAGGCGATCTGCAAGGGCGCCCCATGAGCCCTCGGTGCGCCCACTCTGTCCCTGCCTTTGAGTTGTCTGTGGAAGGCCTCTTGGGGCCCTCTTGGGCTCCTGGGGCCCTCACGGGGGTCTCTTGGGCAGTCGTTCATTGCGGTTCTTTGGGGTCATCCTGTGGCCTGTGTGTGCCCGTTTTGTGGCCGTCTCGGGGTCTTTCGGGCCGTCTTGGGGCATCTTGGGTTGTCTGGGACACATTGTAGATCGAAACGGCGAGTAAGTCAAACATGTCGCAAACCAAGGAGAAGTCAACTACGTCTGCCTCCTGGCGCCCTCTTTGGGGTCCTGCTGGGGCTCTCTTTGGCAGTCTTGCGAGTCTCCGGCGTTATCCCTTGGACCTATCTTGGGGCGCCCGGGAGGACTTCTGGACCGTCTTGACGCCTTCTTCGGCCATTCTGGCACGCTTGGGGACTCTCCCGGGCCATGCCAGCCCGCCCACACGTCCGTCCCGCTACCCACTCCGAGCCGGACGGTTCGTGCCCGCGAAATCAGAGTCCTGCCCTCGCCGATCAACGGTTCAGGCAACTCGATGGGCGGCGGGGTAGGGTCAAGTCGGGCCTGTCCCTCTACAGGGGCAATATTCAGAACTAGTCAAAAATAGTCGGAGACGATTTTCCAAATATTTTTTGACCATTTTGGGGGCATGTTAGGGGTGTTGTTTAATTTGTCGTCCAAAACCCCTCTGTAGGAGGACAGGCCCGACTTAAGGGTATTGTTCGGAGCTCGTCGAACACGCAACGAAATCCGAGCCCTACCCCCGCCGCCCATCGAGTCAGGAGAACCGATGGTTGATGGGGGCGCACATTGTTCATTTCTAATGATTCGAAAGTTCTTCGATTTTTCGGGGGGGCCGAGATCCTTCCATTTCTAATTGTTCCATCCTGGGCCTCTTCCTGGCCACAGGGGGGCCAGGAACAATGAGAAACGAGCAGAATTAGAAATGAGCACGACTAGAAATGAACGACGGGTAGGGCTCGGCTGTCGCCACCTGAAGGGGTCCACGAATTTCTCTGACAGCGGCTCTCCCCAGAGGTCTGGACCCCCTCTCGGGGACTGGCTTTTCTCGTCCTCTTCAGGACCTGGGCCGGGGCCCCCAGGGGCTTATAAAGACTAGGAGCACAGACCCCCCGGTGATGACTTCATTCGCTGCGCGAGGGGGTCCAGGGGAGCCTGACGTCCCCCTCCTGATGTCCTGCGTGTTCAGTCGCAACTCTCGTCTGTTGGAACGCTGCGGCGGAGCTCCAGGCCTCCACAAAGGAGCCGCAGCAGATGAAGTCGGAGGATCACGCCGCATCGCCGATGCAAGGGGGATGCGGCTCGATGTGGAGCCCACACTTTTCTCCACATCGACGTCGCCGATGCATCGTCGACGTCGCCAGTACATCGGCGATGAAGTGTAATCCTCCGACCCCACCTGCTCTGGCCCTATTCGGGAGGCCTCCGACCTTGGACTCGGGAGGGGCTCCGCTTCTCCGGGCGCTCCCTGGAACCGGGTCCTGGAACCTTTTCGTGGCCGAGGCTCGCCGTGGCCGGGGAAGCCTAATCGTTGCGTATGTGCAGCGCTCCCCATGCTGGCTCTATGACTGCGGCACGCCTGCGTCCGGCGCAGCAACGACCAAGCTCAGCGCTGATTTATTCTTTGGTTGGTTGGGTTCCCCTTGAATCTTTCCAACACGCCACCACTTGAATATCGGTTAGACACGCCTGAAATAACAATATCCAAAGCGACCATACACAACACGTGCACGGCATACTCGAGACAATTATCATATAGGATGCCAACGTGCACTTTTTACGCACGCCCAGCGACTCCACACGCCCGCCTTAGGCACGCATGCCTCATCTTGCCCCCCAGAGAGCGAGAAAGAATCAAAGGGAAACCAACTGATGGGGGCTCTCTCCCCTCCTCCGTCCTCTGACTTCACGCGCATGGAAGGGGCCTGCGAGATGGCGCGTCTGGCCGCGGCGGGGCGTGCTATGATATCGTATTTCAGTCCTCTGGCGCGCAACTGTCGCTACCTGGGCCAGACCCCCTTCCTCACCACGGGTAATTGTCACGCTCGTGCGTGGGGGGGGCTGGCCCCGCCCCCTCCCCTCCTTGCGGGTGCCCGCGAATATCAGAGTGAGGGGGCCGAACGGTCATTCACTGTCCCTGGGTGCGTGGCTGAAGTGGGATTCCGCGGTGCGGATTCGTGTTGTTTGTTGTTTGTTGTTGTTTGTTGTTGTTTGTTGTGATTTGTTGTTGTTTGTTGTTGTTGTTTGTTGTCGTCGTCCCACCCGCAACCCGCCCCGCGACCCACCCGCGACCCACCCCGCGACCCACCCGCGACCCACCCGCGACCCGCCCGCGACCCACCCGCGACCCACCGCGCG